GTCCTGACCACACCCATTGTAATACCCCCCACATCTTCCACAGTCCTGACCACACCCATTGTAATACCCCCCACATCTTCCACAGTCCTGACCACACCCATTGTAATACCCCTCCTTTCCTCACAAGTCTCTCTTCCAGGCTGTAGTCCTGCACTCCAGTTAATGCCTCTAGGCATTGCTCTAGGTTGCTATGACACTTACCTAGAATAAATGGAAGTTATTAACTGAAGCTCGGGAGGGATAGCAATGAGAGGTCAATTTCTCACACCACTGCACCTAATCACCATTACCACCAAACTAGCCACATAAACTCAACTCAAACGCCTCCCCTCACATTCGTCTCCAGGATTCCTCCTCCTCCACCATCTCCACCTTGCAGCTGCCCCACGGTTCACTCGGTCACAATGGAGTTTGTGCCTCTTTGTCCTGTGGCCAGGAGGCTACCTCTTAACTAAGCAGGTTAAAAGCCATTCTTCTCTCACCAAGTATTCCAAGCATTCCCAAGCATTCAATCCTTGGATGTCATTGTCCCTAGTGAAGTAGCTTTTTGATTGTTGTTGGATGGATACTGTTCCAGAACTGACTCAAAGTTTATATAACATCAGAAGATGGAACTTGGCTAACAGATTTTCATAGAATGAGGACTGGCTAACCTGATTAATCAGTGCTTATCAGCCAGAGGCAATAAATAAAAACATTCCAGGTGATGGCTGGCAGGCAGTCAGAAGGGCTGGCAGGGATGCTGACTGAGTGTTGAGTGGAAGATACCGAGTCTACAGGCCAAGCTGCTGACAGCCAAGATTGCTGTGAATTGTTAAAAATTTGGGTTGAAGCTATCAGGTTCAAGTTAAGTACATGCGAGATATCAGCTCCTTACACCTGAATGTATTTCCACCTGCTCACACTGAGATAATACTTTTGCGGCTATGCTACTGGGTGTGTTCATTTGCTTTTCATGCGGTGTGCTGGGTTTTATGCTGGTGTGTACTCGTGGCTGTTTAACGGCAGGGGACCTACATTTCTGAGCCCCGGCAGGTCTCCCCAGTTCACGTGCGAGGTCCCTGAACCGGAAGCTGAGCTTACAAAGCAGAAACTAATCGGAGTGGTGAAGCTCAGACTGCAGTTACTCCACACGTAAAGTAGGCCGTCAGCTCCAGAGCTCACTTTGACAGATGACTGCTGTGAGGCGACTTGGGAAAAGCACAAAGTGCCACAGTAAAGCACAGAAACATCCTCGTGTTTGTGTGGGAGGGGTTTTCGCATCTTTTTACCGAGAAAGAATCCTGCTGTAAATCTTGCAGGTTGTGTCTGGCCAGTGATATATTACTGAACTCCTCTCGTGCCAATTGGATATAAATTAAAAAAGAAAAGGGGCACAGAGAAAGTTATAATTCATGGGAAACCATGGCAATTCACTGCAAACAGAGTGTACACATGGGGACAAAACATCATTTTTGCAGTTAATATTTTCCAAGACAGATTTTTAGAAGCCCAGACCAGGGAAGCCCTTAAAAGGCTGACAGGATTTTGCCCCGGCTGCTGCGCTCACACTCCTCCCTGGTGCTGTGGTGCTGTGCCACCTGTCTCGGGAGTGCCGTTTCGCAGGCCTGTCTGTCCGCGCGCTGAGGGCTTGGCTGCGGAGCTCTGTTTGGGCAGGCCGGCGGGCTCAGAGAAGAGACCTCCCTGCCACTGACCGGAGCTCCGCTCGTATTCGATGCACAGAAAACAAATACAGAGTCCTGCAGGTTGTTTTTTTTGGCCCAGATTCTATTTTGGTCTGAAACGTGTATTGCCATGATGATTCACAGATGTTAACCCCTGTTAACATTTGCCAAATGGCTTGATATCAACTTAATTTACTTTCAACGCTTTTTTAATATTTCACTAATGACTGAAAGCCGCGCAAAGCATGTAAAGCTGCCATCAGTTTAAAAACACAATTTTACGGACTCCATCCAGCATGCGGCCTATCCCAGCATGCAATGGGCGCAAGGCAGGATACACCCTGGATGGGTCGCCAGACACCAAGGCCAAATTTCCCAGAAGCCAGTTCACCTACCAGTATGTCTTTGGACTGTGGGAAATATCCAGAGTGTCTGGGGGAAATCCACACAGATAGCACCCCAGGAACTGACCTCAGATCTCTAGGACTGCAAGGCTGTGGTAATTAATGTGTTCTGCAGATTTAGGACAGGTGGAAGGCGATACTTCTTAAAAGACAAAATCATGAACGTGTGAATCAGCATACAAAGTAGTAGCAATTTAAATACTGGATTTTTAATTTAACCTTGATGAGCCTGAGTGCCCATTCTTTGTACAGTATTATTGTATATTGAACACAGGCTGCTAGAACTATAGATAAGTTATTTTCCTCATTGTCACTAGAACCAGGCCACCTCGGGAGACATTTGTAAATAAAGGGATCCAATAGCATCTTTGAGTCTGTACTAGGACATACAATTATATTATTCTCCACTACAGTATATGTATAGTATACTATGCTGAGGTGGTAGAAGTATCTTCTTCCAGATTTAAGAATGCTAATGTAAAGAAACGAACTAGAGACAGCTTCTATATGTTATTATATACACAGAGAAAATAACACAGGCACAATAACAATTTGTGCATACATACCTCCAGTAACGGTGTTGTCGGTTTGTGGTTTAGTTTAGTGCAGCAGGTGACTCTGACACCTACTGGCCAGTTGGCTAATTGCATCTCACAGGGAGCGTGCCGCCCTGAGCTAAAAAAGGAGTGGCTTTTCTATCCTTCTGTTCTAATAATAATAATAATAATAATTTAATAATAGCTTACACTTACAGTATATAACACTTTTTTGGACACCCTACTCAAAGTGCTTTACAGGTAATGGGGATCCCCTCCACCACCAGTGTGCAGCCCCACCTGGATGATGCGACGGCAGCCATAGTGCACCAGAATGCTCCCCACACCCCAGCTCTCAGCTCCCCTACTCTTTTCAAGAAATGCCCTGGGATTTTGAATGACTACAGAGAGTCAGGACCTCGGTTTTACATCCCATCCGAAGGACGGCGCCTGTTTACAGTATAGTGTCCCCGTCACTATACTGGGGCATTAGGACCCACATGGACCGCAGGGTGAGCGCCCCCTGCTGGCCCCACTAACACCTCTTCCAGCAGCAATCTTAGTTTTACCCAGGAGGTCTCCCATCCAGGGACTGACCAGGCTCACACCTGCTGAGCTTCAGTGGGCTGCCAGCTGTGAGCTGCAGAGTGATATGGCTGCTGGGTTTACAGAGCTTCTGGAGCCAGGTAAAGGGGAAACACTCCGGGTCACTGGCCCACCTCCTACAGTGGGACTGTCTCGCTGTCTTTTGCCCGCTCTGATGTGAAGTCCTGGGGTTAAAGATTGAGCCAAGGAAGGGACCTGGAGTGGGCACAGACCTCACCCTTCCTGAGCACAGCGAAGCGGTCTTCTATGGGAATTGTTCTAAACAGGAATTGTTAATTAGAACGGAAGCCCCTTGTCTCTTCAGAGCCTCGGTATTAATCAATGTTAATTAACGACTGCTTGTACTTTCCTGTATTTAGGCTGGACTTCTTGTGGCCTTGGATCTTTTAACTTTACTTCGTCCACAAGTCAGGAAAGGAGAGAAGCGAATGCAGGAAGCTATCAGCAGGACCGCGTTCTTGAATTTGAGAGCACTTCCGGTCTGTGGAACTACTGAAGACATCCTCAGTTCCCAGGCAGAAGGCTTAATCTAGACTCAGACTAAGACGGGGATGTTGTTTAAGTCTGTCTGTATCAGGTCAGCTCAAATGCCTCTGAATGTCGCTTATCAGGAGTCTGGTCCATTCGCACTGTACCCTCTGGAATTGGAGCTTCAGCACCAGCGGCGACGAGACGCTCCCTGACTGAGGCTACGGACGAAATAAGAGACCGATTCTCCAGTTAAACACTGTTTTTCTACAGCTTTGGCACCTAGAAAGGGGCTCAGAATAGAGGATTAGCCTAACTGACAGGCTGCAGGTTCAAGCCATTGCTCCAGTTATTGTTGCACGTTCGAGTGAGGTACTGAACCACCCAAGAGCATTTCATGCAATGTACCTGTTACCCCATGGCAGACAAGTGTGGACGTGCAAGGGGGCTTCACTGAAGAACAGGCTGGCCACAGACACAAACTTCATTTGGTGGGTAACTCACAAAGACACTTTAGGTATTTTCTTAACCTTACATAATAACGATGACACCAGAGAACCCCCAACAGCTTGAGGATTTTCAGGGACGACCCAAACCCACTTGCTTTTTAGCCGTGAGTGAACCTAATCTAAGGGCATCTGGAATGCATTGCCCAGAGTCTAACACTTTCTGTAGGAGAGCAGCTGGAAGTAGGTCACCCGTCAAGCAGGTGACGGCCTGTTATGGGCATTAAGTGAGCTACGACTCTGTAGCAGGTTTTAGTATGATGTAACATGCCACTGTCAAGTCAGCTCGTGCAGTGCTTTCCAAGGCTGCGGGCAGTTTGGATCTGGGAATGAAGTGGCAGCCGGCCATTGTGGTTTAAGCCAAACCCTATTTCAACAACTGCCAATTGCATTAACAGTAAATTAATATCAAAGGAGGAACTAAGTGTCCAAACGGCTTGTACCCAATAAGTGTGGGTGTTTAATGAAATCTGCACGCTCATTAAAAATGTTAACTATTAGGTTTGGTGTCAATAGGCCAAATGTTTGTTAAACGAGAGTTATTTGCGTGAGAAGCCACATTTCTCCAAGCAATTATGAACCGCTATGGACAGAAAAAAAAATCATTGCAGCAGGTTGAAATTTGCAGATCGGAAACGAATTTACTGTAGTTTCGGTTCAGCTGGTGAAGCAAGACAAAGGCCGTTTGAGCTGTGAGAAATAATGTTTGCTTTTAGTGTTACGGTGTTATCAACAATGACTAAAAAGAGATAGCAGACGGCCAACATGTTTACTCAGAAACTGCACCAACCCCTGTTAGTGATAAAATTACTTATAAAAATTGGATTTAAACGGACAAAAGCCTTTTGGGAAAAAGGAGCTGGTCCAATGAACCAGTAGAAAAAAAAAATCTAGGCTCCTTTGGAAGAAGACAAAATCTCGTGCCCACGACTGAGACAATACCTTTACCCAAACCACATTCCCCAGAATGCTGTGGGGCGTGGGCTGCTGCCCTCGCCCACCTGACCAGGTGGGAGACAACAAGTGATGATTTAAAACTCAGGAAGCAGGGGGCTCCAAGGCTGATCTGCCCTGTGGGAACAGAGGACAGATCTCCTGCAGGTGAGCTCACCAGAAGCACCGACTGCGACTGGAATGTAAGCGCTTCAAGCAGGGAGCTGCGTCAGCATGTGCAGACTGCTTAGGACCAAGCAAAGACTTATTCCCAGCTGAAGAACACACCTGAAGAAGGCTCCACAGCCGAAACATCGCATTTCTTTTCTTCTCTATTTTTGGGCATGGAATACACCTTTACTTGTTCCTTACGGAATGTAAGCATCAGGTATTAGAGACGATTTGTGCGAGTAACAGAGAGAAACTCAGTTTTGAGAAGAGAATCAGAACAGAGACCTTAATGAGAAAGCAGGCCCTAGCTGCCCTGAGTGTATATTGGAAGAAGCCGAGGCTAGCATAGTACACACTGCTAAGAAATGGCTAGCTGAAATCTTGATGTGTTGAATGGCTTCACCTTTGTTACCTTTCTTCTGTTCCTTGATCTTATTTTCTGAGCTAGCTTCTCAAAGAGGAGCTCAGGCTTTTGTTTTGTGTGTGCTGTTTTGTCTTCATTTCCCCTCATCATGAACAAGAGGAACGCTGTTTTCCTACCGTACGGCTGTGATTGTGTTTATTTTCCTGAGCCCATCTATTTTAAAGATCCCGTTACAGCGCCCCAGCACCTGGGTGTGTCGCCGCACGGTATTGTTTTATTGTGTATTCCTGTGTGCACTGCCCTGTTTCTTACATACAACCACCGCCACTGAAACACCTTGCATTTCATTCCACAGGGCCAGAGAAGGAATGTTGCCAAATTAACACACTGTAAAAAAATTAATAGCAGCAAGTTTAAAAGCTCTCTTCTATTCTCTATTCTGCAGAACAAGCCACAAATTTTAAAGGCATTTTCACAGCAAGTTCATTCTAGTATGAATTTAATGAGGAAAACATAATTAGGTTCATAAGTAGTTTCCTACTTGAAGTGTTTTCAGAGGGTTAGGATGCAGGAATATGTTCATTGTTCAACATTATGCAGA